GGTCTCGAAAGTCGTGAATTTGCTTATAGTCTCGTCTTTGAACTAAATTTCCTTCGGTATCTGGCTATTCCTTTAACAATGCATTTGTAAATTTTACATTAGTGTTAATTGGCCAAAGTACTACGATTATATTGATCAGGATCGGAACTGTATGTTGGATCAGTGTGTCTAAGCAAAGTAACTTTTTCCTGTGTCCGTAGGGATCACTTTGCGTTCTAAGAGGCATTAACAGAACAAACACAACGGGACTGTTGTACGCACAAATGATAAATCTACTTCGAAGCCCAAATTCGTTCACCAATGATGCATTATCTTACACTACTGTACACTCAAGAAGCATTTTAGTTCAAACAGTCTGCGTCAGGCCGTTCCTAAGGCTGACAACGAAGGGTGTTAACGTCATCAACACAGAGTTAAGCGAACCACCATCGGTGGGGCTTTCTAAGTCTGCGACGCCTGCGGAGCAGTTGTCTTCGGAACTGTGTGCTATTTCCAGTGTTTTATGAGTCGAAGATATTTTACATTACTTAAGACCTATCTGTCATTTAAAAAAATTATTTGTACTTAGCTTATTCTCAACTAAGTAGTAATCAATTATATGTAACACCACGACCACTAGGGGTTTAAGTTTCACATTTCTTGTCTCCTATTGACTGTATTTTCCATTTGCTCCTGACCTACTCTGATTTACTGTTAGACGATTTACTTAGTTACCTATTATTTGTCGCAAGTTGCTTTTTGTTACTTTTTCAATTACTGCGCGTTTTTAATTGTTCTATATATCAGCTTTATTTCTACCTTTTCCGGTGTTTGTTTGCTGTATATATATTTTTATTTTCTCCTGTTTCCCCGCAATACCCCAATCTTAGAGCCCCCTATTACCGCTGGCCCCGTACTACAGAATTCTGGGGTTTTGGGTTCCCGTGGTGTCACAGTAAACGAGTCTGAAAAATTTCTGAGTTAGATGCCGTAAATATGACTGAAAAAGTGATAGACGAGTAAATTTGATATTCTCTAGGGACGAAAGCCTTTCTGGCGTGTCAGCGGCAATTCTGTTACCAAAATACTGAACATTTCGTACATTTTATTTTCGAGAGCTTCGTCTCAAGACCACTTGTTACCATCTGCAAAAGACTTTGCAAGTCCGTCTCAGCGCAGCTCGTATATACAGGCTTTTTATATCCCAGCGAGCACAGCATTTATCAAATTTGTCCAACGTAGGCACTGCTGCGAAGCAAAACCCATTTAACAGCACAAATCGTTTTTATTTTTATTAAAAAAAACACATTTTAGTTGAGTAAACGCGTGCAGCCTAGTGTCATTTTACCCCCTCGAAGGAGGGCTTTATGTGAACTATTTTGTTCCCCAGAGACTCTGAATTTGGGGACTGTCGGGAGAAAGGTTGGCCCGATTCGGCATACTTGGTTTCAAAGCTCGGCATTACCAAGGGAACCTTTATTCTTGCAGAAGAATATAAAGATGATCCGCGTCACATTCTTATTAATGCAGTAAGAGTGTTTTGTTCTGTCTTGTGATCCGTTTTGCAGCTATTTGAGGCGAATTCTGCGCTTGTTTGCACAGGGCACCTTAAAAGCAAACAGTTATACTGTCTAACACAAAACTAACCCATCTGAAAACGCTTAATAGATGTTCTGAGACGTCGAAGCGCATTCTAATCACCATATGCATGGGACA